GAGAGTACTAAGTGTCGCGGTAACACACTCAAATTCAAAATTATGTTTTCCGCTGAACTAATTAACCCTAATGATTTCTAAATAAAGTTCAATATTTCTTTTAAATAAATTACCATTTGAAGTAATATTTTGGGCTGGGCATTTGGGGGTGTTACAGTGGAACAAGGCCTTCCTGAGGAAACCAGGTGAAACAAGAGGAAGGCAAGAGACGCTGAGGAGGCAAGGAAGAGGAAATGGAGTTGTTCGGGACCACCCGATCATTCCCGGAGAAACAACCACGGAGGAGGGTCATTTAGACCTAGGTCACAGAACTTGGGGCTGCTTAGATGTCCCAATTGCTCTAAACAACATTTTGGGAAGTGTAATGAACCATCGAGGTGTTTCAAGTGCGGGAATGTGGGCCATATGAAGGCTAATTTCCCACAATTGGGACAAAGAGGAACTTCAAGAGCGAGAGGAGGACTCATGACGGGAAGGAGCCATGTGGGGCCGTCACATGCTGGCACGAGAATAGGCAGCGCATCAACAAGCAATTACGAGGGTGTTAAAAGATTTAGGGATCATGTACGGGTCGGAAGACGACGTTACCGGCCCAATTTTGAATAAGGAACGAAAATAATTTTGCCCAGGGGTAAACCTGCGCCGGTCATGGCTAGAACCAGTGCCGATCGTGTGTAAAACACGTATTATTAGGGTTGGTAGTGAGTGAACCGGCACCGGTTTAGGTCCGACCGAGACCGGCGCCGGTCCAGTGAAATTTTTCTGATTTTTTCTATCAGGGGTGAAGCGGCGCTGGGTGGGACCCAAACTGGTGCTGGTCCGGTTCAAATTTTCTGTTTTTTCGGGAAATAGTGAGTGAACCGGAGCTGGTTAGGCCCAGAACCGGCGCTGGTCCAGTGTAATTTTTGTCGGACGGTTTCATTTAGGCTAATTTCGGTCTAGTACGTTGGGTATTGTGTCTTACATGGCTTATATATGCAGGAACACTAAAGATCAATGAGAGAAATGCAAGATTTCTCATTGATACCGGGGCGCAACGTTCATTTGTGAGTGAAGCATTTGCCGAAGGTTTATACATGACATTGATACCAATGACGCAAACCATGTTGGTCTCCACACCGTTGGGAGACGACGTGGGAAGAGAATACTATTATCCATCGTGTAAGGTATAAGTGACGGGTCAACACTTGACTTGTGACTTCATACCTCTAACTCTTTGAGTATGTTGGAATTCGATGCAATCTAGGAATGGATTGGCTTGAGAAACATCATGCTCGAGTAGATTGCTACATCAAAGTTTTGTAACTTGAGGATGATGAGTGAAACATTTTATGTTTCGAGGGAGATCGGGGAAGATCTCGTAGTTGTATCATATTTGTGGTGAGGGCACAAAAGATGATGAGAAGGGATGTCATGTATACCTTGCTTACGTGGTGGATGAGACTAAGAAAGAGAAGAACATCAACGATGTACGTGTCGTATGTAAGTATTTGTATGTTTTTTCTAAAGATTTGTTAGGACTTCCACCTGACAAGGAAATTGAGTTTGTAATTGAAGTAGAACCGGAGACCAAACTCATTTCGATTCCCCCTTCTCGAATGGAACTTGTGGAACTTCAAGAGTTGAAGGTGCAATTGCAAGAGCTACTTGATAATGGGTTCATTAGACCAAGCCATTCGTTATGGGGGCACCAGTACTTTTCGTGAAGAAGAAAGATGGTACACTAAGAATGTGTATAGATTACCGACAATTGAACAAGGTCAAAATAAAGACTAGGTATGCTTTACCGAGGATTGATGACTTATTTGATCAACTTCACGGGGCTATGGTATTTTCGAAGATTGACTTGAGGTCAAGTTATCATCAACTGAAAATCAAGGAGAGTGACATACCTAAGAGTGCATTTCGTGGACTTGATGAACCATGTATTTAGTAAATACTTAGATACGTTTGTGATCATATTCATTGATGACATTTGATATACTCTAAGAACGAGGAGGAACATGAGCATCACTTGAGACTTGTGCTTGAAAGGTTAAGAGAGAAACAACTCTTTTCCAAATTCTCCAAATGTAATCTGGGTTTAAAGAGATTGGTTTTCTCGGGCATGTGATATCCGGTTTAGGCATTGCGGTGGACAATGCAAAGATAGAAGCTATCATAGATTGAGAACGACCCAAGAATGTGAAAGAGATACATAGTTTCCATGACGTAGCGGAATAATATCGTAAGTTTGTTGAGAAATTCTTCGTGTTGGCATCGCCACTTACGAAGCTCAAAAAGAAAGGGGTTAAGTTTGTATGAGATGACAAGTGTGAGAAGGGGTTTCTTGAGCTAAAGAAACGACTTACCAAGGCACTAGTTCTTGCCCTACCCAAGCAAGGGATAAGGTATGCCATTTATAGTGACACTAATATCGAATGGCTTGGATGTGTGTTGATGCAGACCGATAAGGTGATTGCCTACACTTCTAGGCAGTTGAGAAAGCATGAGGTGAACTACCCTACCCATGATCTTGAATTGGGAACTATGGTTTTTTCACTTAAGATTTGGAGGCATTAACTCTACGGGGAGACATGTCGCATTTACACCGATCATAAGAATTTGAAATATGTATTCACTCAAAAAGAGTTGAATATGAGGCAAAGAAGATGGATGGAGTTGATCAAAGACTACGATTTGATCATCGACTATCATCCAGGAAAGACCAATGTGGTGGTCGACGCACTGAGTAGGAACGGTGCATTGAGGATGTTACTCACATGGCTACGAGCACTGAGGGCGCGTGTGGAGGTATCCCCGAATGGGGCTTTAATTAATAGCGAGATTCGAGGTTAGACCTACTCTACTTGATGAGATAAAGAGATGTTAGTGCATTGACGAGGAATGTTAGAAGATCCGTGAACGGATCCTGCGGGACCCGTTGAGGATTTCCGGGTACGAGAAGATGAGCTCTTATTGTTTAGGGTTCGTGCATGCATATCGAAGAACGAAAAGCTACAAAAGTCCATACTAGAGGAGGCTCATTCTTCGGCCTATGATATGCACCTGGGAGGTACTGAGATGTACTAGGGCTTGAAGAAAAGCTATTGGTCATCAAGTATGGAAATAGATATCGCAAAGTATGTGGGTCGATGCCCTACTTGCCAACAAGTAAAGGTGGAGCATTAGCACTCAGTGGGACTTTTGCAGCCACTTACCATTCCAGAATGGAAGTGGGAACATGTGACCATGGATTTTGTGGTGGGACTACCACGAATTGTGAACAACCACAATGCAGTTTGGATAGTAATTGATAGGCTCACTAAGAGTGCACACTTCTTACTTATCAACATCACTTATCCTCTTGAGAGATTGACCAAGTTGTATACTGAGGAGATCGTGAGGTTGCATGGGGTTCCGATATCCATTGTCTCAGATAGAGACCCACGATTCACGTCCCGATTTTGGCCAAAATTTCAAGCATCCTTGGGAACTAAACTGAAGTTTAGCACAACATTTCACCCATAGACGGATGGGCAATCCGAGAGGGTAATCCAGATTTTGGAGGACATGCTTAGGCATATGTCTTGGAGTTTCAAGGGAGTTCGGATAAACATTTGGCTATACTGAAATTTGCTTATAACAACAGTTATCAGGCAAGTATTGGTATGCCCCATATGAGGCATTGTATGGGAGGAAGTGCAGAACACCCTTGTGTTGGGACGAGGTTGGCGAGGCCAAACTTGAAGGTGTATAGCTTGTTGAGATCACCAAGGCTAAGGTGAAAATCATTCGTGATAGACTCAGGGCTTCCCAAGATCGGCATAAGAGCTCTGCGGATAAATGGCGGAGACCGTTGGAATTTGAAGTTGGGGATGAAGTTTTTCCAAGGATTTATAGGTCCATTTGAAATCCTTGAAAGGACTGGGGTTGTGGCTTACCGTCTCAAGTTGACACCTGAACTTGAGAAGATCCATGATGTATCCCATGTATTGATGCTCAAGAAATATGTATGAGACCCGTCACATATTCTTGAGAAACCACCAATAGAGATCCGAGAAGACTTGCAATATGCGGTGGAACCGATAAAAATATTGGGCCAACTGGTGAAGAAATTGAGGAACAAGGAGATCCCAATGGTAAAGGTATTGTGGATGAGTGATCGAGTCGAAGAAGAAACATGAGAAATTGAAGCCTTGATGAAGGAAAAATACATGTTTCTGTTTGACTAAACATGTGGATTTCGGGAACAAAATCCCAAATAAGGGGGGTGAACTTGTAACATCATCCCCAAGTAGATTTACTTTTTACCAAATCATGATTGAACCTTGAGGAATGGTTAATGAATTACGAGGTTGTAAATTTTTGTTGTTATTTTTACATGAACAGTGAAATTCACGTGGGCCCACACCGGAAACGAGGACCACCCGATATTTCCGAGACCACATATTATATTCATCTTGGCCTAGGTAATATTTAATTATATGATGGTGTATATTCATGTTGGGTCATAGAAACGACATAGAGTTGGTCGGTTGATCAAACGAGGTGCATTTACAAGAATTGGTAATTTGATAGATAACACCCCATAGTAAATTCCGGGGACCCCTAAATCAAAGTTGGGAAATATATATTCATTCTAGATTCCCATAATAATTGGGAGAATGATATTTATTTTATTCGTACTAATAAAATGAAATTTAATTAAAACAGTGCGGAAAATATAAATTTCGGGGCCAAATGTACAATCCGGGATATAAAGGGATGACTCCCCACATGAGTGGGGGCCGCCCCACAGAATTATGAGCTCAAATTGACCAAGAGGTCTTCACAACATGCTTGGAGGTAGACAGAGGTGAAAGGAATAGGATCAAATCAAATAAGTGTGGGCCTCACTCCCACACTTATTTGCTCAATGAGACAAAGTTGGAATCATCCCTACTCCCTCCCGTATCACACACTTCGACCAAGCTACTAAAAGAAATGAGCTCTGCAACACCATCCTCCATTGCTACAAACTTAAGCTTGAGCAAAGGGAGGTCCAAAGAACAAGGAGTTGGAAAAGAAGGAAAAAACCCAGGAAATAAAGGTAATGGTCTCATTAACCTTTTATATTCACTCATGGATTGTTCTATATGTTTAGAAGTGTAGAATGAAGGGTTGGAAGGTGGTTCTAAGTCCAAGAACCGACTTAGAAGCCTAGATGACCTGTTCGTCAAAAAATAACCTTTTAGAGGCTATTTGTGTTGATATGGGTTTTGTGATGATGAAACCTTAATTAGAAACTTGTCTAAGGTGTTCCTAATGCTTTCACAAAGTTGAGATAGTCGTCGGGATTCATCAAAGTTCACCGGAGAGTTTTACCGGAGTTTTACCGGTGTTCTTTGAACCGAAGTAAGACAATTTTTTAAAATAAGAAGATACACGTAGAAGCCTTTTCATCTCAGTATTTTGTGGTCCTATTTCAGGAAGGAGTCTATTATTTTTTTTTGGATGAACCGTAAGTATATGAAGGAGTCTATTAAAAACTTCATGGAAGGGTGCTTTCTACGATGTAAAACTTCATGGAAAATTATAAGATTTGGACCGCTTCCAAATCATGTGTTTAACTCTTTCCGAAAAATAATGCAAATAGATTTTCATGAATTCATAGTAGTTTTAATTTATGTTTAAGATTCGACATATTGACATTTACATTGCACATTCCAAAAAGTAGGATAATTTAGTTCAAACACACATTCAAAATACGAGTATAATCTATCTAAGTGGATAAGACTTGTCATTTATTAGTTATGAACCGCTACAGGTTAAATCACTTTTACAAAAACTTTTTTAAAAAAACTAATCATACGATCCATTCAAATAACATAGAAATTAAGTAAACAAATTCAAAGGCATAGTTTAAATATAGACTAAAAAATACTCTATGAAATCTAGAGCAGAACATTTATTCCCATTTTTTAAATACATCAATCATCATACACAACTTAAATACTCAAAGATCTGTGTAATAATGATAGATCTGATTAGGTTTTATGTATCCTCTATCAAATCGATTATATAATTAGATTTACAAAAGTGTGAAAACCCTTTTAAAAATTGGTACAGTAACTACTCAAACAAAAATGTTATCAATTAACATGCATGAGTCAACAGATATAGCTTCTTAAATAAAATTGAGGATGAAGATATGATATATACCCATCGGCGTTCCCGTTGTCAGATTACCGGTTGGCCGCCGTTGTTTGAATACAAACGCAAACGATGAAGGGAAAGAGAAAGTTAGTGTATCGCTCAAACTATAGAACTAGCGGAAATAGTTTGCAGCCTTGGAGGAGACGTAGGGACATAGGGACAAGAGAAACAAAGGGTGAAGGGAGAAGCGAGAAGAAGAGACGGAGGAGAAGGGAGGAAGTTTGGAGAGACGAATGGGGTAAAGACGGAGGGTTTCAGAGAGCATCGGTTGAACCGATAACTCTGCTAGAACCGATGGATAAAAGTGGTGTGGCACAGGTTTATTTACTCTATATAGTACTCCATCCATATGAGGGTAAAGTTGGGTTGGGTATTAATGGGCAGAGTTAAATGGGTTAGATGGGTCTCGGTTGGTTTGGGATTATTATATTTGAAAAGTGTATAGATATCTTTTAAACAATGTGTAATTGTATTGTATAATTATTCTTGAGTATTCTTGAATTCTTGAATGGATAGCAAATTTGGTGTAATTGTAGTATAGAATAGAAAATTGGAATACATTTGGTGATCATGTTTTTCGGCTTATCAATCTTATGAGCCAATATTTTCATTAAACGCGTAACTTAAAATTTCATGTCATGAATTGCTTAATATTAAAAATAAGGAAGGTATGAGTTGTTTTTCTGACTAAATTAGCATAATTTAAGTAAAATCAGCCGATTTAGGCAATAATTATTGTTTTTTTTTAATTATGATTTGCAATGAAGATGGGAAAAATCAATAATAATACTACCAATCTTATTGCAAGATCTATTTTTTCCTTCTTATTTCAAAAAATATTCATAACAATTACTCCGTATACATTTTGCGTTCATTTACACATTACCTAATACTATTAACCAATAATATGATATAGCTATTACTTCATATATGTCTCGTGCATCGCACGGGTGAGAATCTAGTTTTGTAAATGAATGATCTTTTGAATTTCTTGTTCACAAGCATTTGTGCGAGAATCAAGAAAAGATAAATTTGTTTCATTCCAAGTAATATCTTTCGTATGTGGATCCATTTCTCTATTATCCCCCCTAAGGCTGGGAATACCTTCTCATCAAAATGACAGTCATCGAACCGTGCAGTGAATAAGTCACCAGTCATAGGTTCTAGATAATTAATAATTCAGGGAGATTTAAAATCAACATAAATTCTCAGCCTTTTTTGAGGACCCATTTTAGCACGATAAGGGGAGCAATTAGTACATACACAGAACAACCAAATATTTTTATGTGTGATATATTTGGTTCTTTACCAGATATTAATTGCAATGAGGAAAATTTATGATATGCAATTGGCCTAACTGCCTAAGCCGAATTAAATTTGCAACATGCGTTATTGCATATCCCCATGCAGATGATGGTAATCTGAATTTCATCAATAATGGTCTAGCAATTAATTGTAATCGCTTAATTATGGATTCACCAAGACCATTTTGTGTATGCACATGTGGAACTGGATGTTCCACATCAATCCCAATTGACATGCAATAGTCATTAAAAGATTGGGATGTAAATTCCCTTGCATGATCCGGAAATTGTGATCTCAAACGAATAATTTGAGGAAGGAGATTTGCAAATGCAAAATTTCTAGTCGATAAAAGACTGACGTGTGACCAACATGTTGATGCATCAATGAGCACCATAAAGTATCGAAACGGTCCACGCGGAGGGGCAATTGGCCCACAAATATCTCCTTGAATTCTTTCCAAAAATGCAGAAGATTCAACTCCAATTTTGTATAAAGATGACCTGATAATTAATTTGCCAAGAGAACAGGCAGTGCACGAGAAATCATTTGATTGTGGAATTTTGACATTATTTAATGAATGTCCAGGTGAATTTTGAATAATTTTGTGCATCATAGTGTTGCCTGGACGACCTAAACGGTCATGCCACAAGATAAAGGATCCGTGGTCATTAATTTTAGATAAAACATTTATCTCAATTGGACTGATATATGTATAATATAGTCCGGAGGAATATGCTGGCATTTTTTCTGAAATGTATTTATTACCAGATCTATTTGTCCTCAGACATAAATATTCATTTTGATTTTCAGAAATGGTTTCAATGTGAAAACCATTTAGACACATATCTTTGAAACTCAAAAGATTTCTCCGTGATTTACTCGAGTATAAAGCGTCTTTAATTATTAATTTTGTTCCTTTTGGGAGAATTACACAGGCTATCCCAGAACCTTCAATGAGTTTAGCAACACCTGAGATTGTATTTACATTAGCATCAACTAATGTCATATGAGAAAAATAATCTCTATGTCTCAAAATGGTGTGCGTTGTGGCACTGTTTATTAAACATTGTTCAAAGTCATTTGGAGGAAATTTCAGTTAACTCCATATCTTTGAAAAAATAAAAATGAACAAATATTAGTTCAATATTGTAATATAAACAAGACTTTATTCATTAAAATGTACATAACTTTTACAATCGAAACAAGCACACCAAATAAAAATTACAATACAACAAACTTTTATTGTAGAATATATTACATAACAGAATAATTTCATTATTATTATTATTATTATTTTTCACCCATAATGATGTCGGTGTTCATCTCATTATCGTCCATATAGAAATCAAACATATTAAATGTGAGTATTGGTGGAACATTTTTTGTTGACGTAATTAGATTCCACATTCTTTCATTTTAGATATGATTTATATAAGTCAACCAAATGTCCCGGCGTGCCACATTTAAAACAAGTGACTTTGGCCTTTTCAGAAGATTTCGCCGGGCCTTTTGTTTGATGGGGGTTTTGCTTTCTCTTGCCTTTGTAAAATGAGCTACTACTCTGTTTGTTTCCCCGACTAGGTCCATTATAACGACCAATACCACGACCACGTTTGAAATGTCCACGAGTACCACTATTGGTTGCATTTGATTCATGTTTTGAACCATGATTTTGTGGACCAAAACTAAAAGGGCTACAACCCGCGGGTCTCATATTGTGGTTTCTCATCAAAATGTCATTATTCGTCTCATCAAGTAGTAATACTGATATTAAATCAGAATACTAAATCAGAATACATTTGAAAGTGCTTTTGTCAATATTGCTCTTGTAAAAGCATATTTGAAAGATGCATAGTGGACAAAGTTTTTTCCCAACATTTCAGCATCAGTGACTTTTTGTCCGCATAACTTCAGTTTTGATGTTATTTGGAACAACGCAGAATTGTAGTCACTTATAGATATGTAATACTGGAATCGTAAATTGATCCAGTCATATTGAGCTTTTGGTAAAAGGACCTTTTGTTGATGACCATACCTTTCTTGGAGATTATCCCATAATTCTTTAGGGTCATCTACCAATAAATACTCAGACTTCAAACTTTCGTGAAGATGGTGATGAAGAAAGATAATGGCTTTTGCCTTATTTTGGGGAGTGACTGACTTATTTTCACCAATTGTGTTTTCAAGGGCATTTGCTTTTAAATGTGCCAAAGCGTCAACTTTCCATTCCAAGTACTTTTGACCAGATAAATCAAGGATGTCAAACTCTCTTTTGCTAATATTAGCCATGGATGAACTACATCATAATTAATTTAAAATTAATTAGTTAATGGGTTTATAGATAATACTATTAGATACACATAATATGTTTATGTAATAAACACTATATTAATAACTACTACGTATGATAACAATAATTATATGCATCACTTTTATTACGTAGTTCGTATGGGTATAAATGGTTTTCATCAATATTTATACGTCATTTTGAGATGCAGGTCCATTATTTTGTTTTTTTTTGTATGTGCATGTTTGTAAAACATGTTATTGAATGACATATCTAATACAGAGTAATTACTTGAGTGAAAATAAGTTGCTACTTACCATCATTATTTGTTGGTCAGATGTATGTGACCCCATGTATTTAATTTTATTAATATGTATATATGCAGTAGTATTCAAAGTTTCAATTCATGAACTAGTGCATGTCCTCTCAAAGGAAAAAGACAATTAAAATAAATCCTTTTATCCGTGTGCATGGGGCTATGGACAGTATGGCCCGTGACTAATTTTGCTCACATGTTTATGCCGGTATGACCGTATGAGCTTGTCTGACCATGATCATCTTATTTATTTCACTTGAATATTTCAGAGTTATTTTTTTTCTACCGTTCTTACCATTCCTTTAATTTACTAATTATCAAGATGAAAGGAACAGAAAAGAATATTAGATAGTACGTATGCATGAATATATATAAATTATTTAAACCCTTTCTTTTTTTGAAGCAGAAAACAAACTGATTTTTTTTTATATAATATAACCGAGTGTCGATCATACACATATGACATACTAGTATATATTTATTGTGTATGTGAATATATAGATAACACTTCGTATATATAAACACAACCATACGTGGTTTGATATTAAATGAGTTAGGTGTAAAAGTTGTCTTTTAGCTACTATTATTGTCAGCTAAGTTCCTAGACTGTACATGTCATGTATAGCATTAAATTTATTGTTTCTTCATGCCTTTAAAATATCTAGACTATTCTTCTTCATACTGGTGAATGGTGATAACTCTTTCTTATGTGTACTCTATATCATGTAGCTAGCTCAGAGTTTTATTTTTTAAAAAAATTCAATCTCTCTTCTTCTGGGTTTTCACAAAACCGTAAGTTTTTATCTTCTTCGCAGATTAACTACTTCTACTCTTTCCCTATTCTTTCTTTTACTATCTTCTCTTCTCATAAATATAAAGAGCAATTTAGTAGTATACGTACTTATCTATCTCTCGTAGTTAAGATTTCATTTTATATTGCATGTATTTTCGTTCTATCTTCTTTTAAAAAAAATAGCTATAATTTTCTGATATGAAGGATCCAAATGGTTGGGCAACCATAGAGCATACTTCTTATAGTTTTTCATATATCCAGACATCTTCATACTTCTCAACCTCTGATTGTTTATCCAGATGAATTGATAAATTCGTGGAAATATATACCTGTTGGGAAGATGATGATTTCCGAGATTTGGAGCAAATTCGTGCTGATGACGTGTTATAATATGGAAGGAAATAATAAGAAGATCAGGGAGAGAAAGTATAGTATGAACACTTAGTGATAGAGAGATGTACTAGAGGTGTTCTAATAGTGTGTTAATTACAATGGAGAAGACTCCTATCTATAGGAGAAAAGTTAAGCTTATTAGGATTAGAGGATAATTGTGAACCACACAATTATCATCTAGAATCATAATTATGATTTCCTAATTAGTTATACAATGGTGATAATAATTCCTAATCAGGAATTGTTGGAAGATGACTAATTCAATATATTTCAACAATTCAAATGATTTAAAAAGTAC